AGCTCAAATGTTGCATTGTCAAGTAAATGAAAGAAGTAAAGGCTACCAGTTTATGTTAACTATAGTCTATGGCTTTAATATAGTTGAACAGAGAAAAAGTTTGTGGCATGAAATGGATACAATGGCAAAAGGTATTCCCCAACCATGGCTTATAGTAGGGGATTTTAATGTTATACTGTCTACTAAGGATAGATTAGCTGGAGTTCCTGTTACTAATAATGAGATAAAAGATTTTGGTGATTGTGTGAGAGATATGGGGGTTAATGAACTGCAGTGGACATGAAATTAGAATACTTGGACTAACAAATAATGTGGAAAGGATAGAATTTCCAGTAGAATAGATAGAGCATTAGGAAATGATGAATGGATGGATAAATGGGGACATGTAAATGTAGAATATGGGAATCCTAGCATATCTGATCATATCTCTATGGTGATAATACTTCAAAAAACTCAGCAGCATGGGAAAGCTAGCTTTAAATTTTTCAATTTTTGGACTGAGCATGAGAGTTTTAGGGAAATGGTTTAAACTATCTGGAAAAAAGAGTGTGGTTATAACAAAATGAAGCAGGTGTGGTGTAAGTTGAAGGATCTTCAGCATGTTCTAAAGCAGTTAAACAGGAAAGAGTTCAAGTATATTGGGAAACAGATTGACATGGCTAGAATAGAGATTGCAAATGTTCAAAACCAGCTAAATGATCAAGTTACTGATGAGTTGATTGTGCAGGAGAAAGAGTTGTTGATTAAACTTGAAAAATGGTCAATGATTGAAGAAAGTTCTTTGAGACAGAAGTCAAGGATAAAATGGATACAATTAGGGGACGCAAATAATAAGTATTTCAGTTCAGTTATAAAAGAGAGAACTCGAAAGAAACAAATAAGAACTATTATGTCCTTGAAAGGTAAGATGTTGTATGATCCACAGGGAATTCAAGATGAGTTTGTGATGTTCTATAAGAGTCTTATGGGAACTTCAACAGGTAAGCTACCAGCCATTAATGCACAAGTGATGAAAAGAGGGCCTACATTGACAAAGCAGCAGAGATTACAATTGTGTACTGCAATAACAGGCCAAGAGATCTATGATGTCTTGAAATCCATAGGGAATGATAAGGCACCAGGTATAGATGGTTACAATGCTTTCTTTTTTAAGCATACTTGGAAGATCATTAAAGGTGATATCATAGAGGCTGTTAAGAGTCTTTTCACAACTGGAAATCTTCATAAAGCATTCAATTGTACTCTAGTGTCTCTCATACCAAAAGTTCGGAATCCTAAAACTGTGAAAGAGTATAGGCATGTAACTTGTTGTTTAGTGATGTATAAGATCATCTCCAAAGTGTTAACTAATAGATTGCATGTTGTGATCCAGAGTATCATTTGTGATAGCCATGTAGGGTTTATTCCAGGAAGAAAGATTGCTGATAATATAGTGCTTGCTCATGAACTGGTTAAAGTTTATACTAGGAAGCATATTTCTCCTAGAAGTATGCTGAAGATTGATCTGCAGAAAGCTTATGATTCAGTGGAATGAGATTATTTGGAGCAAGTAATGTTTGAGCTAGGCTTCCCAGAGATGTTTGTGCAATGGATAATGAAATGTGTTAAAACAGTGAACTACTCCATAATAGTTAATGGACAGACTTCTCAGAGTTTTGATGCAGCTAAAGGTTTGAGACAAGGAGATCCAATGTCTCCTTTCTTGTTTGTTATAGCTATGGAGTATCATCCTAGGTGCTCTAAACTTGATATTACTCATCTATGCTTTGCAGATGATCTATTACTGTTTGCTAGAGGAGACCTGGAATTTGTTAAAGCTATTCAAATGTGTTTTTCTCAGTTTTTTCAAGCTTCAGGACTACAAGCGAATCTTAATAAGAGTTCAATATATTGTGGAGGGGTTCAACTGGAAGTGAAGCAATAGATTGTGCAGCAACTAGGATACAATATGGAGGAACTTCCTTTCAAATATTTGGGAGTGCCATTATCAACCAAGAAGATGCCAGTGATGCAATGGTATCCCCTCATTGAGAAAATAATGGCAAGAATCAAATCATGGACATCTAGGAAGCTATCATATGCAGGTAGAACTCAGCTAGTCCAGACAGTGTTATTTGGTGTCTAAGCTTACTGGGTTCAATTATTCATATTTCCAGCTAAGATAATCAAGCTAATTGAAAGTATGTGTAGAAGTTATCTGTGGTCTGGAGTAGGGCAGGTTACTAGGAAATCTCTAATAGCATGGGAGAGAGTTTGCAGGCCTAAAAATGAAGGAGGTATGGGGATGATAAACATGCAAGTCTGGAATAGAGCAGCAATAGCCAAGCTATGTTGGGACTTAGCAAACAAGGAAGACAAGTTGTGGATCAAATGGATACATGCATATTACTTAAAAAGGCAGAATGAATGGCAGAAGAGAGAACAAGCCAATTGGATGATCAGGAAAATAATGCATGCTAAACAAATAGTTGATCAAGTTCAACTTAAATAGGGAAAAGGGATGGTTAAACAAATCTACGATTATCTGAGAGGGGAACAAACTAAGCCTGAATGGAGATGTCTAATGTTTAAGAATGCAGCTAGGCCAAAAGCTATCTTTACACTAAGGATTTTGTTGAATAGAAAGCTAGCAACAGTGAATAGACTTTCCAAATGGGGAATGACACATAATAAAACCTGTGTACTTTGTAAAAATGTGGATGAAAATATGGATCATATGTTCCTACAATGTCACTATGCAGGGGAAGTGTGGGAAAGAGTATTTACTTGGGCTAGTATTCACAATAACAGGCCAAAGACATGTGCACATTTTATCCAATGGAGTAATCAACATGGGAAAGGGAAGACTACAAAAGCTCAACTATTCAAGCTGATCCTAGCTGAAGGTGTCCATGCTGTGTGGAATGAGAGAAACAAGAGAATTTTTGAAGACAAGAAGTGCTTGATAGATGAGGTAGTTAAGAAAATAGCCCATGTAACTATTGCTAGATCTTCTATTAGTATTAAAAATGTTATTAGTCATAGGAAGATTTGAGGTATAGTTAGTAGTGTTGGTGTTTAAGTGCTTGTATTTTGGTTAAGCATGTTGTGATAGTTGCTTGTTTTGTAATGTTTGGCTCAGTAATTAATAAAGTTAGTTACCAAAAAAAACAATAATAATAATAATAATATTAATAATAATAACAATAATAATAATAATAATATAAACAATAATGAGAATAAAAATAATAATAATAATAATAATAACAATAATAATAACAATAATAATAATCATAATAGTAATAAAAAAACAATAATAATAATAATAATAATAATATTAATAATAACAATAATAATAATAATAATATAAATAATAATGAGCATAAAAAAAAAATAATAATAATAACAACAACAACAACAATAACAATAATAATAATAATAATAATAGTAATAAAAATAACAACAATAATAATAATAATTATAATAATAATAAAAAGAACAATAATTAAAATAATAACAATAATATAACAATAATAAAAAAAACAACAACAACAACAATAATAATAATAATAATAATAATAATAATAATGATGATGA